GGCGAAAGCTCCAGGCTAAATGGCCTTTTCGAAATTGCCCGTGGTAATGGTTTACTTATTGCATCAGAATGACAAGCGTTTTCCTCGGGAGAATGGGCGCGTTATGGATAGTGTGCAGAGCTAGCTAGAGCTCCGGTTATGTTATGAGCATAATACAGGTTTTACAGACCGTAAGTTCCGTTTGCATGAACCGTTGCTTATGTGGAGCTAGCTTAATCGATCACTTTTACAGAAAAAAATTTAATATTCAGTCGCCAATTTAATATTCAATCGACAGCAATGCAGAGAAATCGTTTGTCATACCGGACACGTTATAGCCTGTTCGCTTCCCTATTGCTTTCACCGGTAGCATCAGAGAGCTCGCCCAGACATTGGAAAAGTATCAGGCTGACCCCAGTCATGGATAAGTAAAGCGTACATTTCACAAGCACCCAAAAACGCACCCTAAGCTTTTGCAAAAACCTACGCCTGGTCTAACTGCACCTCTCCGGGTTAGCTTCAACTGTCGTGGGCTACAATTCGCAATGTTATGATGAAACTGCCACATTGATGCTTACTGAAGTCACACAAGCATACCGATCAGAATTACTGCATGTAAGTTAACCAGGAGAATTTTTAATTAGCACGGCACGCGAACTAACATGCAGCAGCTGGTAAAGGAGCTGCCATAACAACCACAGAGACAAACCCTTGCAATACAGGTTTTACAGACAGCAAGTTCCGCTACCATGGACAGTTGTACCAAGCATCCAAATTACAAACAAGTGTAAAAAGTTAGCTTCAAATGAGGTTTATGTTCACACACCTTCTGTAGAATTTCCCCTGATATCACTCTTGCATATTTGGGACACAAAAATTAGCAACAGTAACTTGGCTACGTTAGCCGCAGTGCTACAGCCACAATCATCAGGCCATCACGTTAGGTAGGCTTATGCCGAAAAAAGCAACTTACAGCTTCTGCGCCTGTGAGTCACGGACAGTCACGACAGATCCAGGCTTTGTCTTCAGATATTTTAGAAAGCCCGCGCTTGAGGCCAGTTGTTAGTGCTAACTATCGTTAGCGCGGGTCCAGCTAGCCAGTAGCCACCCGTAACACGTTAGCTTCACTTACATTATTTGCTGTTATATCGTTACTTACAGCTTGTGGCTCCGAGCGCTTGATCGATGCAACTGCTTCAGGTTTGAGAAGCAGCTGAAAGGCTTATCCTGTGTCGAATTATCCTTTATTAACAAAGCTGTCTTTGGTGAAATGCTGAGCACAATCAGCTAACGCTCCCTTTGGTCGTGGCTGTTTGCTGCCAGCAAACAAAAAAAAGCTACCCACTGATTTCTGGTGGCATCGTCTTTTTGGAAGAGAAATAGTTGTTTTTCTTGGTCCAAAAGTAAACGGACAAGCAGCTTTGGGAGAGATATTGACAAAACTGCACCTCAAATGATCTGCAGTTCTTCTTTTGTATTTCCAAAAGTGTAGATGCTACTAGGCATGGTATGATCCGGGCGTTGTTTG